ATGAATATTGCCACCGTGTTGGCGCAACACGAGGAAGACGCCGTTTGCACACATCATCCAGCAACTGTGTGCGCTTCGAGGATCTGGAGAAAAACGCAGTGAAGCCATTCAGATTGGCGAAAAAGACCTTGCACTCTTTAAGCTTTGAGGCCCCTTGAGTCAGCACTAAATGAAGACGATGTGCATAACAGTGAATGAATAAGGCCATAGGTGCCTTTTCCTTAACTTTAGCCTGCACCCCGTTTAGTCCAGATGCCATCACCACTACACCAACATAACACTGTGCTACAACTCTGTCCAAACAGCATTCATATTCCTCAAGAATACAGAAAATAAGTGCAGCAAGGTCGTCAGTTCCCCTGCCAATAGTTACATCCACAAATTTGACAAATCGCTCCTTGACACCTGTGGCTGTCACGTAGCGCAGGACGAGTGCCAGCTGTGCCATGTTACCCACGTCTGTGGTTTCATCAACCATGACGGTGACAAAAGGGGCTCTTCTGATCTCCATTTTGATCTCATCTCCCATCACTTTAGCAATAGCATAAATGAGGTTGTTCTGTATTCTGCCTGATGTCCCAGTAAAGACCCTGTTGGTGGTCAGGTGGTAATGCAAGTCGGCGTCATGTTCAGCAAGAAAAGATAAAAGGTCCACATAATTACCTCTGTTTAATGACTGGGGGTTGTCATCATGTCCCCTAAATGAAAGTTCCTGTTTACCCAAAAACATGACACAATCCATCAGCCTTTTCAATATCTCCCTATTGTTCTTCACCTTTTCATTGTGGAGCTCCGTGTCCCTGCGCACCTGTTCGCTGAGCTGCAGATCCACTCGGGTGTCCCCAAAGGTTTTTAAAAGCACCGTAGCTTGTAAGTGCCCAGCCGTACTTTGGTGTCTCTTTGCTGCCTTGGTGAAATAACTTAAATTGGCAAACCCAGTAAAGCTCCAAATACCAAATCGATCTGATGCGAGCAACAGGCATTCCCAGCAGAATAACCTGCAGCGGTCCTCTGAAGCTGTTAGCCATGGGTACCGTAGTTGCTTGCCTGAAAATGTCGAACAAATCCTTTCCCCTGCTGGGACAAGCCAGCTAGCATTGGAGTCGGATGACCTGTTCTCATAAGATCCATTTTTTCTTGAAAGGTCCGTCTTGAAAATGGCGTGGCAAAAATCTGCAACCATGTCTGTGCCTTCTCCTCTTTCAGCCATCATGTGACTTAATCTGCCTAAAAACACAAGCTAGCTGAAATCTGATTGGATAACACCCAACCTTGGTATTTTAACACTGGAAGCAGTGCAACCAAGTGGGTATAATAGGATATAAAGAAAATAGATGAGTGAATTTTTTTTTATTTAAAAATATTTACCAAAGGGAAAAAAATACATTTACATTTTTGAGTAAGTTTAGGTCAGCAGAGAAGGCTTTGCTGGCCCTGACTGCCCACCACTGGCTAATGCTAATGGTTAGCTTCTACTAGCTGAGATGTTCTCTGCCGTTTCCTGGACGTTAAAAACAACAGCCTTTCCTGTTGCGAGTCAAGATGGGTGAGTCCATGAATGTTCAGTGACAGTGTGATGTAGATCTGTCAGGCTTTTCAAATCCTAACGTTTCATCACCTATTTCCTTTCAGAAGCTAATGCAGGAGATAGGCGTATTTTCTATTTTCATGTTCAGCCTGCATGAAAAATTCAGAGTGACCAATTATAATCCGAAATAATCATTAAAAATGTTTTTTAAGTGTTCCACACAGGCCCCCACAATGCGGCTCAAAAATTGAAGCAATCCCGGAAGTACTCAAAATTGCAGTTCCACCCTCATCCGCTGGGGGCTGGTGTCAGAAGCGAGCAAATCCTCATTGACTCCCATGTTAAAAATACCAATTTCACAGCAGAAATAAACATGTTTACAGCCTGGTACCAAAACATGTTTTTGGTTTAAATGATCTTGTTTACACTCATGACAACGCTGAGGGGGGTGAATTTTTTTCTCACTCTTCTGTTTAAGTGTATTAAAAGCCTAAAATTCTGTATAATTAATGAGCATCCGACACACGTGACCGCAGAGCTAGCTTCGTGGAAAGGCCTCAGTCTGGCTTGGAAACTGAGGTCTCAGAGACCTCTGTGTTCCACCCGGTTTTACCCAGCGGTCAGCCCGGCGTATCTCTGACTCAGAAGCTCTGGTGTTGTGCACAGTTAACTCCAGTTGTAGCTAGGTTGCTACCTCCGTTAGCTTAGCTCCCACCTCCGCGTTAGCTTTGGGTTAGCTTCAGGTTAGCTTGTAGCTAGTTCGACTGGGTGTCGTCAGTTGATCCCAGCCTTACAGCCCCACCCTCAGCTCCACCTCTCTTCCCTTTTGTGGAATTTTCTGGGCTTGACGGAACCTGTGACACAGTCAAAATGGCGGTGGTGGCCACCTCCCATTTCCCCTCAAAAACATGATAATGGAGCCTTTGGAAACCCATTGTCCAATATTCATATGTCGATGGTTCCACACCTTAAATTGTCCCAAGGAGTGAGTGTGTGATTGTTTGTTTTTGTGTACCTGTGATAGACTGGAAACCTGTCTGTCCCCTACTTCCTGCCCAGTGGCGGCTGGAAATAGACACCAGCTCTCTGCGACCCTGCATAAGCAGTTTAGAGGGAGAGATTATGAGAAAACAAGTCTTGAACATGGCGATAACATGTTATCACTCACAGAGAGAGAACCATCAGCAGGGATATCACAGGTTAATAACAACACAATTACGTTTCAGACTTCCCCAAATTTGATTTTTTTTAAAAGCACGACGATGATACAGTAATAGGGCCTTTTTTAAAACTTGTGGCCAAGGTATGTGCTTGTTATTTAACAAGTGTGAAGCATATAAGAGACAGAAGACCTGTAGTGACTGGCTAATGTGGTTTGGCAGGAGGCTCCAGACTGAGACTTCTGTAAAAATGCATTGCACCAGTCAGTGTGCTCATGTTAACATGTCTGTATGAAGTGAAATAAATAAATATGTTTATGAGGTTATTGTATGACAGTATTTTGTGTAATCTCTTGATGCCTGGATTACTGGAGGACACATGTTAGCTGCTCCATGACACATTACACCTCTGACACAATAAATATTTAAAGTAAGTAAGTCAAATTTTATTAAAATAAAACCTTTGAAGATAAAAATCACAAAGTTCTCTACAATCGCAGACAAGCGGAGAGACGTACAGAGAAATGGCAGAACACAAACAGGAAAAGAAAGAGGGCAAGAAGCGAATCAACAAAATATTAGAATGGAAGATACACAATAATAAGTAATATTACATAATAAAAACTTGAGCTGCTTCACAGTAAAGGTTGAACTAATAAGGTCACTATCTGGTTCGTTTTATGTATCTTTTCTAGTTTATGAAGCTGAAAATTAAACCTATGGGTTTTGAATCATGAGCCCACAGTGCCATCTGGCGGCAGAACTGTGGTACTACATTGTTTTCCATTGGGGGGAAAACAACAACCCTCCTCATGCTTTGTTTCAGGTCAGGATGCTTTCCTTAAACTCGTTTCAGGTAATATTACTGTTTTCATTCTCAAATTCACACGTTGTGCCGTTTTTTGTGACCCCCCCCCCCCCCCCCCCCCGCACATGTTAATTCAAAATAAGTTATTTAGCAACAAGAGACAGACGATTTTTGGTTTTTTTGAAGTCTCTTCGGTTTCTTTTTAAAGTATAAAAAAACACAAGTACCAGGTACATTTTATGAAAAAAAAAAGTTAGGATTTATAAAACTGCTGATTTTGTTATCCTGGCTAATTACAGCAACGTCATGTGGATTTTTTTATGAGTTCATGACTTTTTAACATAAACCCTAAAAGCTGTCGTGATGAATGGGGTTATTTGCATCTGAATTCCAACAACTCACAAATGTTTAAAAGATTTTTTTTTCAGTTTAACGAGAGCCCAGCCTTTGTTTTAGATAAAGAGGAATTTCAGGGCCATTTTATTGTCTTGATAAATATACACGTTACCCGCTGTGAAACAATTAGTTATTATTTCGTTTTTAAATATTTCCCAAGAACTCACATCTGGTAAATAAAACAGAAAAGCAAGTACAGAAGCACGACGCTGGGTGCACAACATGTTTATAACACTGGTGTTCTGTTGTGTCTGAGTGTGGCACGTATCAGAAGCCGTTGACCTTTTACCATCAGCACGATGCGTGGTTTTGACTTCATGAGGCCCGTGCCAGGGTCGTGAAAAACTCAAGACTTTAAGTTTTCATCAGGATGTGTTTGTGAGCTGCGTCCGGGCAGCACGGCCTTCATTCAGCACTTATCTTCTCTGATTGGCTGCTGACTCACTGAGCTCTCATCTGATTGGCTGAACTCTCAGATGCATTCGCTGCCCATGCGTATCGCATGTGAACAACGCAGCTTGTCCCCGCGTTTCCCTTGCTCTACACTTACAACCATTACGGTACCATTTCAAAAGCCATTTTGTGTGAAATCGGAGCAAGACCGCCTGTTCTGTCTGGACTTTTGAGAACATTTAAATCAAGGATTGAAAAACACGTATTTTATTAAAAACACGTATTTTATTTAATTAAGGGTTTTTAAGGAAAAAACGGGAACAATAACACAAAAGAAAACATCGAGTTGTTATGTTGTTATATATTGAACTAAACGAATGTTGGTGCTTTTTCTGTTTCTATTTAATCATTTTTTTTATTCCGAGTGCAGTTTAGTGCCTTTTTAATATTTCATTAGCTTTGATTAAAATATTTTCTCATATTTAGTTAGACAAAACTCCAAAAACATTTTTTTAATTTTAAATAACGAGGACACGTCCTTAATTCTCCAATGCAATACATTTGATATTAGGCCTTAAATGAACAAATGAAACAATAATTCAAAATTAATATGAAATAAAACTGACATTCAGATAGTGTAAAACGAGACGCCCGATAGAACGTGTTGTTTTTGTTCTTTTGTGTTTTTCTCTGCGCTCTGCGCTCAGCTTTTACGGTAATGAGAAACTGCTGTTCCTCAGCTGATATGAGGCACCCACTCCGCGACTGCCTCTTCAGTGAGACTGAGAGGACCGAAGCCCACCGCCTCAGTTTGCCGTGAACAGCTTAGCATTACGAATCAAAGATGTTAGACAACGAGGAGATCTTGTTGGATACCCATCCGCGGGAGCTCACGCAGAATCCGCTTAAGAAGATCTGGATGCCGCACAGGAATGGCCACATTGCGCACAGACGTGGTAAGGAGATACAGCTGACCCGCCGGCAAGTGCGCATAAGGATGCGTCGGGGTTTTGCAGATTTTCTTTTCCCCCTCCTTGTTGCGTTTTAGTTTGCGAGCGTTTTCATTTTAAAGCGACCACATATGAGATGTTTTGTTTAATTTTATGTTATTTTACGCGCGCCCGGCTGGCTGAGATTTAGCGTGCACCCTGTTCGCAGTATTGCATCATGCTCATCTCTCCTATGGACATTTAGGTGTGTTCGCACGATGGCACACATTAATCCATTTAGCCAGGACCAGCACTAACCTGTCTGCTTTGATCTCACACACATCTGGTGGTTGGGTCTGCTTGTTTCTGCTGACTCCAGCTCTGCTTCCCTCTGAACCCCTTTCCATGTTTTACAAGCTGCAGCTAGTTCTGTCCGGTGTCTGGCACAAAATGTTTCTCCCTATTCACGTCAATCTCTTTATGCCAAGGACATCACACAGGAGCTCTTGCAGGTCCAAATCACCTACAAATGTATAGTTTTACTCTTTAGGAAGAAATCTGAACTGTAACATAATAATAGTAGTAATAATAATAATAAAATAATAATAAATTTGATAATTAAAATGCTAACTATTTCTGAGCGATGTAATTGTATGTGGTTTTATTTAACTGTATAGTGTTTCGTTGTCATTTTATATGCAGAAGAAAATAGTAAATGTAAATGCCCTGTATTTGTTATAGTGCCTTCTAGAGTGCTAGAACCCCCCAAGGTGCTTTACAACACACTCATTCACATGCTGGTGGTGATGAGCTACAATGTAGCCACAACTTCCTCTGCAGCACACTGATGGAGGCGAGGCTGCTGAGCTCTGGGGCCAACAGTCCTTCCGACCACCACCAGCAGGCAATGTGGGTTAAGTGTCTTGCCCAAGGACACAACAGCATCATACTCTGCCGAGAGCCGGGGTCGATCCTACAACCCAATAACTGGACAACCTGCTCAATCTCCTGAGCTACTTACACAATTAGTCTGACCTTTGACCCACAGCATTCTACGGTTTATTTAATCAGTGTGTGACGCTGGTTAGTTAGTTGAGTTAGGCTTTGCCTGTGACTAAACTGTGTGCAGAAGCCTTAGTTTTTCTGCTGTAGTTGGAATTCTGAGAATCTTTCTGCAGAAATGTAGGTCACTGTCACACACAGCTGACTTTTTTCGTTGAACTTTAGCACACTTTTTTGACTGATTTAACCCTCCCACTGTCCTACTGGGTGTGACCCTGCGAGGAAAGTTGACCATTGAGCAGGACTGATGGTTTATCCCTTGGGTTCATGTGGCAGGGGTGAGGAGTGAGCACCACGTCACCCCTGCCACACGAACCTCAAGGAATAAACCATCAATCCTGCTCAATGGTCAACTTTCCTCGCGGAGTCACACCCATAAAGACAGTGGGAGGGTTCATCACCATCTATTGAATCTACAAAGCCATGCGAGATGGGGTTTGAACTGCGTATTTGTCTGCTTTTATCCAGTATGTATGACAAACTGTCCAACCCTCATTGTGACCGTTGGACTTCCAGCCCGAGGGAAGACTTACATTTCAAAGAAGCTAACTCGTTACTTGAACTGGATAGGCGTGCCAACCAAAGGTACCGGCCCCCTTCCAACTTGTGCTCTCAGATATTTACATGTCTGTCCTGCTGTGTTTAAATAGTTCTGTCTGTCACCTGTCACAGAGTTCAACGTTGGCGATTATCGGAGGGAGTGCCTGAAGATCTACAAGTCCTTCGAGTTTTTTCGGCCAGACAATGAGGAAGGTGTTAAAATCAGATGGTGAGTTAGGGTTAGAGTTCGTCAAGGACTGGTCTGTAAAATAACCCATTTTGGGGAACGAAAGTCTGCTTTTCTGTTGTCACTGGCATGCAGCCTATCACCCTGATAAGTCATGTCTGATTGCATTAACTGTGTGTCCGCATGTTGTAACATTATGATGCGTCAGCAAAATTCTAGTCTAAAAACCTACTTCTGTGTCCCTTTACAGGCAGTGTGCTATGTCAGCGCTGAATGATGTCCGTCAGTACCTGAGTGTTGAAGGAGGACAGGTTGCTGTAAGTCCTTCAGAGTGTCCCTGAGGCCCAGTAATCCCAAATACCAGCGCACCTCTGAGACTAAAGTGTCTGTTCCTGTTGTTTCAGGTGTTTGACGCCACAAACACAACAAGAGAAAGAAGAGGAACTATCATGAAGTTCGCTGAGCAGAATGGATTCAAAGTAGGAAACGAGCAGGGCATAATTGGTTTCTAACCTTGGGGTGATTTCCGGGTTTGTTCACTTTAATTTCTTGTAAATGCAGGTGTTCTTTGTGGAGTCTGTGTGTGAAGACCCAGAGGTCATTGCTCAAAATATTGTGGTAAGTCCCATCCCATTTGACTACTTTTATGAATATTTATTTTTAACAATAAAACACAATGTCCCCTACCTTGCAGAGATCAAGCTCCTATTTAGATTGAGCTTTTCTTAGCATTAACAGGATTAAAGCTCACGTCCTGGTTTCTGTCGTTGCAGCAAGTTAAGCTAGGGAACCCTGACTACATCCACTGTAGTTCAGAGGAGGCCGTTGAAGACTTCATGGAAAGAATCAAGTGTTACGAGTCCTCCTACCAGCCTTTGGATGAGGATCTCGATAGGTAAAGAAACAGGAATCGGTAAGAAAATCGGCTCCGTGTTCCAGGTGTTTGACTGATTTTCCTTTTCCAGCGACGTGTCGTACATAAAGATCATGGACGTGGGTCGTCGTTACCTAGTGAACCGTGTCGTTGACCACATCCAAAGCCGGATTGTCTACTACCTGATGAACATCCACATCACTCCGCGCTCCATCTACCTCTGTCGCCACGGTGAGAGTGACCTCAACATCAAGGGACGAATCGGGGGAGACTCTGGCTTGTCCGATCGAGGAAAAGAGGTGCGTTTGTGTGCATTTTTTAAATACGTCAACATGTTTTGGAGGAAAATAGTATTGCATGGATAATTGTGAACTGATATATTATCATCCAGTATGCCAAACGTCTGAGGCACTTCATCGAGGAACAGAAAATCAATGATCTAAAAGTTTGGACCAGTCAGATGAAGAGAACGATCCAGACAGCGGAGTGCCTTGGAGTGCCGTATGAACAGTGGAAATCTCTAAATGAAATTGATGCTGTATGTCCACCTCTGCTTTTATTAATTGAATACAATATTATTTAATGTAAAAGTCTAAACCTTTCATCTCTTTTCTAACAAGGGTGTCTGTGAAGAAATGATGTACGAGGAGATCCAAGAACATTTCCCTCTAGAGTTTGCTCTGAGAGACCAAGACAAGTACCGCTACCGCTATCCAAAGGGAGAGGTGACGAAGTGTTTCTTATTGATAAGCTCATTAGTGTTGAAGAAGGCTCTCGTGTTTTATACGCTCATGCTCTTTTCATAGTCGTATGAAGACTTGGTTCAGCGGCTGGAGCCTGTGATCATGGAGCTGGAGAGACAGGAGAACGTTCTGGTCATTTGTCACCAGGCTGTCATGCGCTGTCTTCTTGCATATTTTCTGGACAAAACGTCAAGTAAGGATTTAGTGTTTTATTGTCTTTGCCTGTTTTCTTATTTTCGTTTTGCAGCTTGACTTTCTTTAGCTAATGAGATCATAAATGGTACATTTAGATTAAAACTGACTTTGTCCCCACAGGTGAGCTGCCTTATCTCAAGTGTCCCTTGCACACCGTGTTGAAGTTGACACCCGTTGCTTATGGTGAGCGTTTTCAACACTTATGAGTTTATCCTGTCGCAATAAACCATTCATCATTATTACAGAATAATCAAAAACAAAAATGAAAAGAGCTGCCTGACATCAGAGGAATGTATTGTGATCATTAGTGATGGAGGGTCACAGCAGATCATTGTCAATAGTGTCACTTCGTTGGTCTACTGACCCCTGCTGGATCTGAAATATCTTTGCCGACAACCTAATTGGGGACCCCAGCTGACTGATATATTTAAAATATACAAAACATAAATAAAGTGAAGGTGTGTCACTAATTGTGAAAAGTGAAATGGTTGTGAAGGTGAAGTTGATTATAGACTTGGCTTTGAGGCAGACTTGAGTTTTTATTAGTTTTATTAATTTTCATGCATTTCTCTGTAATGACTCAGCATAATGCTAGTTCAAAAAATATGTACTTTTAGCAGAAATGCATGATAGACGGAAGACATTCCTTCATTTAAACAGTTTAGCGCCTCAATGACGGGTGAAACAGCAACCGTTTTAGTCACATGACTATTTCTTAAACGATAGGCAAACCAACACTGGGTCTCGCTACATGAGCTACATGCGCTGACCCATCAGTGTTATGGGCTCGACACACGGGAGGCGACATCGCCTCTCCTCCATTCAATTTCAATGAGACATACGCAACAACGCGATAATCGCGGGTCTCCCTCCTACTAAGCGAAACGCGAAAAACGTGCGTGTGAAATTTTGCGCTCGTGCACGTGTCGTGCATAGGCGACCCAGCGACGCGATCCCAGAAAGTTGAAACATTTTCAACTTTTCATCGCTGTCGCTCGGACAAGGACCAATCAACGGAGGTTTCATTCACTGACCAATGAGCGGACAGGATGCTCCGTACATCTCCGAGCAAACATGGAGGAGAAGTTGATTATTATTATGTTTTATAAAGTAAAATCAGAAGTGAGATTTCACATAACTCTAGCAGCACCTTGTGAAACATCACATCTACCACTTTTTTAACTCTGAACCGCTTAAATAACCTTAATTTCCTCCAACCTGACACAGCCAAACAAAACAACAGAAGTTTCGATTTCGCCATGGAACAGAACGAGTAGACGGCTTTGCCGCTGGCCGCTGCCGCGGATCGCCTCCCGTGTGTCAGGTATTAAAAGCGACGGCGACAAATTTCGCTGATCGCGGTCGTTTGTCGCCTCCCGTGTGTCGAGCCCATTACACGACCCATCACCAATTAACCTACTTAACTCGGATCCATAAATCATCTACTCGTTCATTGCCACCCACGTATCCGGGTAGCAGGGGCAGCAGCTCCAGCGGAGAAACCCAAACCGCCCTTTCCCAAGCAACCTCCACCAGTGTGACCCCAAGGCGTTCCCCGGTCAAGATGGAGATATACTGGCACCTTGTCTCTAAAGCTGAACCCAGCTACCCGAGGAGGAAACTAATTTCATTGTCTCACTCTTTCGGTCATTACCCACAGCTCACGACCATAGTTGAGGATTGGGATGAAGATTGCCTGTTAAATTGAGTGTTTTTATTCGTCTTATTTCCCGCTTCACCTCAACAGGTTGGTTTAGCGTTTGGATCACAGCAGATGCTGCCGCTGTCAATCTCCCGTTCCCTTCTTACCCCGTTCGCAATTAAGCCCTCAACAGAGGACCGTCCACCTCGCACTCCCTTACTGCCAACCAGAGATTGCCCCTTTCAGATTGCTCCTTGAACTGTCAACTTGCCGGGTTGTAGAAGTTTGAGTGCCCTAATAATCCTAGGAGCACAAAATACGAATCGTTCAGGTGTACAACAAGATTCTTGAACAGGACATAACTAGTCTTGTGTTGATACCTGGCACACAACTTGGGAAAGAATTGGTTTTAAATTAAATCTTTAGGTATCTTATCCCAATTTGCTTCAAATTCTTTGGATAAATCTATCAAAATGCTGAAAACTTGGTATTGATTTAAAGGAAACTTTAAGCACCCAATCACTTATAGAACATATTAATTTAAGACCAGTCTGGATCATTAAAAGCAGTGTGGAAAGAAATTATAGAGGGCGCCAAACATTGTGCCTAATGTTGTATCACTTCACGGACTAACTTCTCTTGTAATCATCGTTGTTTGTTCCAGGATGTAAGGTGGAGTCTGTGTACTTGGGCGTGGATTCTGTGAACACACACAGAGACAGGCCAGAGGTACGTATCTCAGCCAGTGTACAGAGATGTCTCTCTGCAGGTGTTTAACTTCACTGCGTTGTCAAGCCAACATCTGTGAACTACAGCTAAATCAGGGGAGCCTCTCTTCCTATCCAAAAAGACTGTGACTTTGTTTTCTATCCTCTCAGCATGCACATCATGTCCTCTTATGTTCACCCTGAAACCTCCTTTTTAAAGCCACCGGGCCGTTGGTGCTGATGTGTTATTTTGCTCGTAACACATGGAGATTTAAGACTACATCATTTAATCAACTGTGACTAATATTGACTTTCTTTAGGGCTTGTTTTTTTATATTCATCTCAGAAAACAGATGTCACTCAGTAGATACAAATACAAATGTGTTTTTGAGTACGACTGAACTTATACAAAATGTATGAAGCCGCTGTTTAATAATAGATGCACAATTTCACCATCAGCAAACTAATCCTTGTAATAATCTCTGTTCAGTCAGCCTACTTTATCATGTGAAGAGGAAATGTGCAGTGTTTACTGATCAGTATTGGTGCCACATCACTGTTCAAGCTCAATCTGTAATTGAGACTCAAATCAAATGTGACTGGTTTCATGTCAATTTTGATGCCTTGTAAATAAAAATAAAAGTTTTTCACAAATTACGGTTTCGTTCTAAACTTTTATTTGAATAAAACTCCTGGACATTTCGAAAGGGAGACTTATTATATTAGTTAAGGGCTGAGTTCAGTGTGTATTATTTTTCCTCAGGAATCAGTAAACAGACATATTTTTCCAAATCACTAATCTGACACCCATTATTTAAATAATTACATTAAATTTTTTTTTTGTATGAGATAGTTTCCCCAGCGCACTAAATGTATTTTTGCTTAAAATATTAAAAATAAGTGATCTTTAAGGACATAAAAAGTGATGTAAGGAGTAAAGTGTAACTTTCGTTTCTTGTTGGGGTTTTCAGAACGTGAATGTGCAGCGCAGCACTGAAGACGCTCTGCAGACGGTTCCGGCTCATCTCTAATTTCAGCGACTCCTGTTTTACCCGAGAACCCATCCAACTGTCAGTTTAGGGACCTCCGGACATCAATGTGAAAAAGTGCCGTTCAGCAGAAGTACTGCATCATTTCTCTGGACTCCTTATACTATGACTGTCTGTTGAGGCAAACTAAAAGCTTCTTTAAAAAAACAAAATCTGTGGATCTACAGTTACTGGTGCTCTGATGTTCAGCATCGTTTCCATGATTACAGTCCATATCCACTTCATACCAAAACTGTTCATGCATACATTTTATTTTCCACCAAACCTGTGGTAACTGTATTTTAACTATTTTTAATGTGTTTTCTTTAAAATAAAGGGACACAAAAAGACCGTGCATGAAGCACCCAACATAAATAAAACAAACATTCCAGTGGTGTATAGAAAACAGCTGGCACTTTGTAAATGCACAAGTATTTTGGTTTAAACTGTGTTTGGAGTGATGACTGTAGGGAAACCAAATATGATTTTTGGTGTTTTTAACCTGCTAATATGATGAATCAGTCATATTCCTTTACTTCAGGTATTTTTTAAACCCATCGACAGTATCTGCCACAACTTCAAACACCTGTATTTTGTCAGGAGTATGAGCTACGGTACTGTGTTCGTAAACAAGTCTCTGGTGTTTAAACTACCTGTGTTATATGAAGTAATACACATTGTACATGTTTAACAATCAGCTGTGAATTTATGTTTAATATTTGCAGTAAAAACAAATAAGTTCATTTGTGACGAGCAATAAATGAATGAGTCACTAAAATGCAAGTTAGTTTTTATTCAGTTCCATTTGTGTTGTGAAAAAACATGATTGCCTTTGGAGTTTGTTGTAACAAAGCACAGCAAACTGAAATTTATGTGCATATAATAAGTGTATTTATAGAACTTTAAAAACGTTTAAATGATCTAAAAGCAAAAACTTTATCCTGCACATTGATAAATATTTTCTCTAATGACCGCCCTGATCTCCAGCGTTCCAAAAGCAGGTTTAAAATGTGAATATTCATTATGTACAAACATCAATACTTTGAGCACAAGGTCATTTTCAGACTAAAGTCTTGAACCGTGTTGGTCTGTACAGTCTTACTGTACGTCTCATGTTTCTTCTCTTGTCTGATCACATCTGTGAGGATCTGCTCAGCAACGGGAAACGCTCCACAGTGATTGCAAAAGGAATGTGTACCAGAGTTTCCTCTTTCAGAACTGCAAAAACAAAAGAAAAACAATATAAATTCCCTACCAAGAGAATGGTAAATGGCCTATATTTGTGTAGCACCTTCTTAGGTCTCTAGAACCCCCCAAGGCGCTTCACAACACATTCAGTCATTCACACACTAGTGATGAGCTGCCCTGTGGCACACTGACAGAAGCGAGACTGCCAAACACTTGAAATGAGTTTCCATGATGACAAAAATGTTGCAATAGGAAACCAAAAAAATGACAAGTGTCGGAAAGATCGTACGATAAAATCACCACTCACGTTTTTGAGGAACTCTTCGGCGACGATTCGAGCCCTGGCGTTCACCGAGAGTTTCATTTCACTGATCTCTTTATCAATTTCCTCCATGAAATGAATCACAAAGTCCACTAGTTTGTGTTTGTACATCTGTTCGGTGTGGAAGTTGGTGATGAGGAAACTGATGTCGTAGCCCTGTAGGGTAGGAGACAGACGAGCTTCATCACGTTTAACAGATGGAGAACTTAAAGAGTGTAAAACCATAACAGTCGTTTTATTTCAAAATCACATTGCGTGCAAAATCAAATTGTTTTTCCTGATTTGTTACACTACTAATTATACAATTTAACACATAGCTGGAGTAATGATTTACTTTGGTGAATGTGTGAGCAATAATTTATAACGAAAGAGAAAATATTTTTATAAACAGGACAAAAAAGGCATTTTTGTCAAACGTTCAGACAATATTCATGTTTTAGTTTTTTTTTTTCTCTCACAAAAAGCTTTAGTAAAAACAAAGATAACTTCATTTATCAGGAGCTTATTAGTTTAATGTATTTCAGGTAGGGATGGACAATATATCGCCATCAATATCGGTATTGGCCGATGTTAGTCATTTTTTAACATATCGGTATCGGTTTGACCGGGCCAATATTAGCAACTGATATTTTTTTCATCTTGGCTCCATTTGTTTGCATGTTTCAGAGGGTGAGGGGGAGTGATGTGTAATTGTTAGTCATGTGAACAGAGAATGAAATCATCTCAGAACCGTAGATGTGTGTATTGTGTGTGTACATAATAACGTAAATTCAGCTTTAATCATTTTGATTTCATACAAAATCTGCTGATTTTAGAAGCATTAATGTCAGTATATCGGTTAGGGCTGCAGCTATCGAATATTTTTGTAATCGAGTACTCTATCGAATCTTTTTTTCGATTAATCGAGTACTCTAATAAATTACTCTTTTGTGTTTGTAAACCATTATATCATATATTGATGAGCCAAGATGGCGCCGAGTATGGCTGCCTCGTCGCGAGCTCCACCAAGTTCCAACATTACACGCTCCATACTGTACATTAATGCCACTGTTTTGCACATACCAACCTCTGTACATTTTATATCTATCTTATTGTTTACTTTATTCATTTGTATACTTAGATTAGCCATTTTTATATTTTAATTGTTTTTACATTACTGTATTTTTGCACAACTCTGTTGCTGTGAAGCTCGCACACAAGAATTTCACTCGCATGTACTGTACCAGTGTACCTGCACATGTGACGTGACAATAAAAGTGATTTGATTTGATATCAAATAGCATGTTATAATTATGAAAGACCTCTTAAAATGAGCAAGCAATTGCCAGTTATTCTTCAAGTTTTATTCAAAATTAGTTTGCATAACTTCAGCACTTCAACTTTACTTCACAGTAAACAAATGCCTGTGCAAAAAATAAGTACACAACCTGAGCCGATTCTCTCCTCGTGCGAGAATCTGCTAGCCTGCAAGCCAGACAATAACTAGGAGGATAACGCTGCGAGCGGCTTCGGCCCAAACAGAACCAGAACCGCTCACGGCGCAAACAGCTCGCCGGCTGTTTCCCTATTAACACACGTCCGTTTTAATTTCTACACTTTTTTTTCTCACACTAACAAGGATTGCCAAAAGCATGTTTGCTGTGGTTTTGTCAAATTATACTGATCACAAAACATTTATTTACTTTCTTTCGTTTTCCTCCGCCACTCATAAATACCCGTGTCCTCCTGCAGAAACCCCGAGGGACAACGGACAACAACACAATAAAAAGTCCGACGTGTTGTGTAAAAACTGCTATTTTTAGCACATTTTAAGTCCGACGTGTTGCTACCAGATGTACGGTGTGAGCTGAAACTGAGTGCTACAAACGAAAAAGTCGCACAGTGCCTGCAGAATATATAGAAATACAGGCTAAAATGCATTATCTTGTAGAGGCTCCGAGTTCCCTTGCAGAAGTTACATTTACAGGTGCTGCAGCACGGAGGATGTGGTGTTGTAGTAGGCTAAATCCATGTTGTTACAGTATTTACACTGGACTACGTTTTCCGCCTTACGACATGAAAAATGGTTCCACAACTTTGACATTTTCTGTCTTTTTCGCACTCCACCGGGGTACAAGTTGTCCGCCATGGCTTAAGAGAAAGTTAAGTTATATTCGCTACTCGCGTGTGCAATCAGTCCAGTGGGCATATGCGTCACTTATTTCGGTCCGGGTGAAACATGACCCCGTGCGTTTGCAAAGCCATGAATTAATTAAATATGAATTAAACGAATCCTCGAGGCTGAGAATTTGACTCGAGGATTTTTTGTACTCGAATTATTCGAGGTACTCGAGGAATCGTTTCAGCTCTAATATCGGTATCGGCAAATATTGGTTATCAGCCATAACAGTGATCTCAATAGCAGATATCGGTATTGGCCCAAAAATGTCATATCGGTGCATCACTAATTTCAGGGCATTACAAGGATCCATCCAACTATTTGTTACATTGCATTTTAAACTTAGCTAGACTTTTGTGTATCTGTTCATTTAATAGTTACATTTAAGTTGGCTGTGATTCTTAGACTAATTTAAACACATTTACTCAATACGCCTGAATTAAACCTTCCAGGTGTGTCTGAACCACTTCAGGAGTTATTTACCTCCACTGGTTTCCTCCTCAGGATGAAGAAGTTTTCTGCTCTCATCATCATAAAACGCATGAACTTGTGGCACAAAATCTTCTCGATCTCATCTGCCTACAACAGAAAATTAAATAAAAAAACAACATTAACGGATAGTTTTCATTTCTGTTTCAGTAATAATTCCAACAAGCAGTTGGGTGAGGATCTCCACATGATCACTGACCTGCTTGACAGCGATGCTGACCCTGACAGAGTTGATGGAGCCCTCGATCAGTACCTTCTCCTTCTCATTACGACTGATGATGACTGGTTGGAGGAGCAACTCTTTACTGCTCCTGAACATGAAAAAAAAAATAATGTTCTGTCCTACAATCAGTGCGCGCTATGCGCTCTCACTGCAGTGAAGTTTCACCCACCTGACCTCCACTTCTGGTTTGTTGTGTCTTTCCACCACCTGTGAGGAGAAATTCTCCAGGCAGAGAGCAGCCTGCAGCGTGGCACGCACAGCATTGAGATACGGACGCAAGGTTGCCGTCTTGAATGTGAAAAACAACAATCTGAGTTAATTCCAAAGACCACCAACACTAACTAGTTTATAAGAAATTCTGTGGATCTTTGTGTTCCACAGACTTGAGCCTGATTTTCACTTCATCTAAAAGCAATGTAGGGAATGGCTGCCTGAGATACCAACTACTTATTTCATTTGGTTTCTTTATGCCAGTGAAATTCAGTCCTGGTCATTGTTGCTCTGTGTTATAGCCAGTTATGAAGAGTCAACTAGGGAGCACTGATGGGTTTGATCACAAAATCCACTGTTTCCTGATAGACATCTACAACTTCTCCAATACATAAATTATCTTTAAAATTATGAACAATTATTGTGGTTTTACGTTGATATGTATTTCCTTATTTCCCTTTAATATGGTCTCATGTCTCGCTGTTGCATAATACATGTGAAAATTAATCTCTGTTAGAACAAAATCTCAGTGTTTCACTGCTAAAACATTCACCTGTAGAGAATGATTACTTCGAATCAAAATTCTTTATTTTAAGGTTAAAAGCTGGTACTTTTCAGGTATGAAACAAAGCTGCTCCAGTGAGAAAAATCACCATCTGTCATCTGATGCTAACAGGCTCATCAAATACAACCTTAATTTCCGCAGTTAGCATTATGTTCAGCAACAAACGAAGATCAAGACATTTTAATTCTCAGAATCTGAAAGATCTACAGCAGACGACGATATTATCGGCTTTTCTTTAACCAGGAAAACGATTAGCTGATGATAGCTAGCTTAGTTAGCTTTATTTAAAATGACCGAAGAAAATAAAAGGAAGCTTTCGCACATGGCTGAAGAGACAGTGCACGAAAATTCTATTTGTTC